TTTTATAATATTTAATATTTTTATATTTTCTTTTCATTTTATAATATTTATACAGGTTAAAGGTTCATACATATGTTTTTCAACCTGACCTGTTTAAAAGAATAAAATAAGAGCTAATAACTATGTTAAAATACTAGTAACAAAAGAAATTTACCAATCAAACCTAATTTACAATATCTAATAATACTAAGGCTATAAAAAGTGAACGTAAAGATGAAATAAAAGTTGTCCCCGACTATAGTTGTTCTTTGAAGGTTTTCAGGGAGGGGGCCAATTTGGTAGCCCTTTCTAGATTATTCCACAGTTTTGGACCGCGATAAGAAAAAGCCTTTTGGCCATTTATTGTTCTTAGCAGCGGTATCTTAAGATCAGTTTCTGATGAACGCAGAAACCGTTCTCTATCATCCGAACATTTTTCGAATAATTTTCTCAAATAGTCTGGTGCAAGCATATTTAGAGATTTGTAAGTTAGCGTGGCTGTCTCCTTTCTTACAAGATTTCTGATGGTTAACCAGCCAAGATTCTGAATTATTGGAGCAGCAGATGCATCGTATGGGCTGCTAGTTACAATTCTGGCAGCTCTATTTTGGATTTTTTGCAACACGTCAAGCTTTGATTCATTACAGCAGCCCCAAACGGAACAACAGTAGCTCAAATGGGGCTCAACAATTCCTCTATACATTTTGTTGAGGATGTCAGATGGAAGATATTTCTTAGAATACTTAATAAGTCCAAGGGCTCGATTAGCCTTGGTCTTGATAGTATCGATATGCTTGTCCCAGTTGAGCTTACTGTCTATCTGAACACCTAAGTATCTTGTGTTGGTGATCATTTCAATGTTCTGATCACCTATTGAAAAAGAAAAAGATGGTGGAGCATCAGGCTGGCTTTCGATCTTACGGATGTTTGGACCAGAGCCTATAACAAGTGACTGCGTTTTCACTACGTTCAAGGAAAGTTTATTTGCATGCAACCAATCCTGTAGTTTCAAAAGATCTAAGTTTAGGTCATTTTGAAGGTCACCAATACTTTTTGAAGAGAGGGAAATGGCCGTGTCATCAGCATACATGCTGACATGAGATTTTTGCAAGGAAAAAGGCAAATCATTGATGTAAATCAGGAACAAGAGTGGACCAAGACAAGAGCCTTGGGGAACTCCACAATTTATTCCCCTCACATCAGAGGAGGTGCCATCCACCCTGCAGAATTGTTTACGATTTTCCAAATATGATGTGAACCAGTCATGTTCCAGGCCGGTCACTCCGTACATATTCATTTTTTCCAGTAGGATTTTATGATCGACCGTGTCGAAAGCCTTCTTCAAGTCAATAAAGACTAGACCAGTGTATTTTCCTTTATCTATATTCAGGTACCAATCATTGGTGCTAGCTAGAAGGGCTGTGGCTACCGAGTGTAAGAGTCGAAAACCCGACTGATGCTCATATAGTGATTTATTCGCATCCAGGTATCCATAAAACTGATTGAAAATTAATTTCTCAAATAGCCTAGATATGAAAGGAAGAACTGATATTGGTCTATAGTTCGATCTGTCATCCTTTGCGCCACTCTTGAAGATGGGTGCAATACGCGCTATTTTCCAGTCCTCCGGAAATTTTCCTGCAAACAATGATTTATTGAAGAGATCACACAAGGACCCACCAACAACTGGCAAAGCAATCTTCAAATAAAAGCTCGCAATGCCATCGTGACCGGAACCATGCGATGTCTTCATCTTATTCAAGGTTGATGATAATTTATCTGCCATGATGGCCGAAAAAGAAAAACTTAATGGAGGAGTTTCAAACGGGTATTCACCAGACAAGAGTGGATTGGCTTTCTTTGGAATTTTCTCACTAAGTTTATTCCCAATGCTGCAGAAGTACTCATTCATTGAAGATGCAATTGCTTTGTTACCCCTAATTGTTTGCCCGTCTACATAGGGTCACGATGATGAAATATTTATCGATCATCCTTTAACATGCCAAATTTCTGCGCTATTGGAAAGCAGGATGCCATATTTATAGACGGCATGACATCTCTTATCTTGTTTGAAATTTATACAAATTAGCTGCCTAGCCGCAATCTTTCTTTTAGCTTCAAGTTTAGAAAGCCTGTCTGCCAGGTGAACCATAAAGTTTCTAGAGTATCTTTAATACTTTTCATTGCGTGGGTTTTGCTGAATGACAAGATTTTTGCTTTCCTTAAATTATACACCAAGTCTTTGGCAGCATAGAACTCACATGTGAAATATTGTCAGTTCAAAAAGATGACGTTATTTTTTTTTAAGGTCACACTGAAATTGCAGAGGTCCTTCTAAGTCATGGCTGCGAAGCTCTCATCCCGGACAACAACGGTGTCCGACCTCTTCACTACGCGGCACAGAATAACTTTGCAAAGACTTTGGAAGCAATGTTGCAGCATGAAAACGTTAATGACGAACCGGACAATGATGGTCGCACCGCACTTATGTGGGCCGCTGCTAAAGGTATACAGATGGATCACATCATATTGATACAAAACCTCTGGTCAATGTGTGTCTTGAAAGTTCCTTTTTTGATACTAGATAGCTGTATTCTTTCTTAATACTAAACAAGAATCTCGCCACGATATTTGCGTCTGTTCTCTACAGAAAAACTGTACAAAAAAGAGATATGATGTTTCCAGCTGCACTCCATTATTAGCAAATAATTTTGCCTCTTTCCTTTTTCCGTTATTTGAAATTCAATCGCTTCCATTTTTTGTTAACTCCCTTCCATTTACTTTTTTGGGTTGTCCATGTCCCTGCAAAGTCAATGCAGGGGCTTCTTGCTTATTTCTGTTAATGAGATAAGAATTTATTTCTCAGGTGCCTACGATGCGCTGAATGTGTTCATATCACAAAAGCCAGATGTTCTAGCGTGCGATTGCTTTGGCGCTACAGCCCTTCACATGGCAAGTGAGGGAGGACACATCCAGTGCGTGTCTTTGCTGTTACAGCACCAAGCAGGCGTCAATGCACTCGATGAGCAGCAATATACACCATTATTTTGTGCCTGTCAAATGGGACATCGTGAAGTTGTCGAGACACTGCTTTTACGTAAGAGTCCTTTATGCAGCTCTTTGTAACATTTGCAAAAATTTCTAATTATATTGGTCGGTTTTTTATTAAAATGTGTTCAGTGGATAAAGCGACGAGCTACATCTAGACTAGTTGGATTCAGTGCCATGTTTTTGGTAGTAGAGCATCTTAGCATACAGAAGTCTTTGACAACCCACAGATGATAGTATTTTGTACATTCAAAAAAACTGCTAACCAAGCTGTTGCATCGATTTGTCTATTTTGATTCATACGAAAGGTAAGATAGCCTATTAATGGCAGGGCAAAAACCTGGAACCCCTTGCTGCTTTGGTTTAAGATATAAACTGACACTTGCCATCTCGAATGTACAGATAACGATTTTATGTTCGCGTTAAAAGAAATGACTTGGAAGATGAACGATAAGGATGTCTTTTCATTTTTACAATGTTGCTTCTCATTCTAGGTAGAAAAGAAACAGACAAAATATATTTACCACCTCAGCTTAATGTTTAAAACCGCTTTATGACCGTCTAATAGTGAGTAATTACAGTTGACAGACAGCTCATTTTCAATAAACGAAACAATAATTTTCATAGTTTTTTCATTAATTTTTTACATTATTATGAAAATGCAACGTTTTTCGGAAACTTAAAAGATTCGATTGTTTGCTATAGATGGTGCCGTTGTTGATCTTGAAGATAAGGAGGGTCGAACGCCATTACACTGGGCGGCGGTTGGAGGTCGCACGGAAATCTGTGCAATGCTTATCAGCCATGGAAGTGATGTTTCAAAACGAGATAAGCTTGGGTGAGCAAAACAAGTTTGACGTTGATACGTTTGCTAGTATCTAGTTAATTCGATGCTAGTATCTCGAATATCTTGCAAACTTACATACATATTTTTTGCATATGCATAAGTGTAGTGGACATTTATATCTGTATGCAATGTAACAATCATGTAACAGCCTCGCAAAACTCTGTTTGTTGTATTTGAATTATGCCGTACGTAACTTTGTTCAGTGTTTTCAATTTGCACTTCACTGGCCATTTTTTGAGTACCTTTGTTTACTTTTTGATGCTTTTTTATGTTAGTAATGTTCATTAGTTTTTACCTTCACATGGAGGTGTCATGCAGTTTGGCTCCTTCTTTCGTCACAACATTCTCTCTAGTTATATAGAACTAATATGAAGGGTACAGTATCTTGTGTCTTTTATCTGAATATAAAAAAGGGGGTATATGATCGAGTTTTACACGAGTTGAGTAAATAGCTTGCAATTTGAAAGCTTTTCTGTTGTTTTCAAGGCGCCCAGCTTTACATTATGCTGCTTATGGTGGGTTCTTCAGCTGCATGTCCTTGTTATTGGAATATGGTTCAGATGTTGATGTCCGTGACAATACGGGTGTGACTGCGCTTCACTGGGCCTGTGCCTCAGGATCTCTGGATGCCGTGAAATTGCTGTTTACATACAATGCATTTCCAAATTTTGTTGAAACTGAGGGAGACAAGCTTACCCCCTTGGATTATGCAATAGTTCGAGAACACCAAGATGTTGCTCAGGTAGTTTCAGTTAACGCTTTGTGCTTGATATAGAGATATTAAGGATGCTTTCGAGAAAGGAACCATTTATATCCTTACGAGGTTGTCATGTTTCATGTTATGTAGACAGGAACACATTCAAAAATGTAGTTTATCTGTTGGAATCGTGTTTTTTTGAGTAATGAAGTAAATGTTTTTCACAAAAAATACCAATCTTAGTTCAGTAACTATCCCGGCTATCAGTGTCTCATAAAAGAATAAGCTCGAAAATTTAACGAGGTCGCTCAACTTTGACCGTTTCGTCATATTTACCCTATTTCACAAGCAAGTTTCTCCTTCACAGTTCATGATTGAGCACGGTGCGTTCACCATTGCTGGAATACAAGACGAGGCCGCCACTGTAATACAAGCCACTTGGCGAGGATATAGCTGGAGAAAATCTTTTGAGGAGCGAAAGCAGTTTCTGATTCTACACGAGAAACGACGTAGAGAAACAAAGAAAAAGTCGAATACTGGAGAAAATGAGCTTCCCCGGTTGACATACGAGGGCAGTCAGTTTGAAAGTGATGCAGGGCTTTCAAAAAGCTTCCCTAAAGATACTTTTGGGGCTCCCGAATTAAATGAGAAGTTTAATGGCAGCGCGTATTTGGAGAAAGAAAGCGATATACGAAAACCTTATATACAAAACGACGAATTTGAACATATGGACGCTTATGATAATTACCTAGTACACAATCCATCTGGTGTAAGCTATGATGAACTCGTGAAAAATGAGCTTTCCCAAGACCATTACCAGAGACAATCTGATGTACGTTTTTTGGACAAAGATATAGATGAAAATGAGAAAGGAGGTTCTGCGAGAATGGTTTCCAGCGAAAAGTGCGATAATAGTTTGGGTAAAAGTTTGGAGAGCGATGAAGGATTTTTACTTGAAAATAAATTTCAAAGTAAAATCGGTCTAAATGACTCGCGTTCATATCAAAATGATGTTGAACAGGAAAGAGGTATGCAAATTGGTCTAAGAAACGAAAAACAGTCTCTGAGTTCGTTACCAGAAATAAATTATACTCAAAAAAAACTGCCTAATCAAAAAAGAGAGGAAATCCATAAAGTTAAAAATGTTTCAGAAAGATTAATACTAGATGACGAAATGAAAAAACCTGGTCCAGGTGATCAATTGTCAAATCGAGTAGAAAAAGAATATGAGACAAAAGTTCTGGATCGGCAAATTTCGCTTGATGTTGGAGATCAGTCTGTGATTCAAAGAACTGCAAGGCTTTACAAGGCACTGCCTACACCGAGTACTTCATCAAGTACATATAGTTTTAGTTCAAATGGCAATTTAAAACCGTGGCAAATATATAAACGAGAACGACATCGAAAGCTTCTGATAAGGCGGAAAATAGAATCTGCAGTTGTTATTCAAAGAGCATTT